AGGCCCCTCAAGACGGCTCCAGAAGCTGCCCAAAGGACCCCAAGAGCGGTACTCCGAGCTGCCATGTCCGGCCCTTTCCCGCGAGATCCCTCACGAGACCGCCAGCAAGGCCCACAGAAGCTCCCAGAAGGCCCAACATTCTAGCCCAAGAAGCCCCCACGAGGCTCCCATGAGGCCCCCCAAGAAACCCCATGACATCTCCCGGAGACCCGCCCTGTCGACGACCCAGTTTCGTCTGAAGAGTTCCCCAAGAAACCATCGACAAGCCTCTGCCTTCTCCTCATCGTCCGCTTATGTGACAATATGGACCCGCGGAGTGAGCGAAGCGGTTAGATCATATTCAGACGCGCTCCAATACTCGCAAAAGCCGACTCGCGCACACCCAGGCACGCTGATTCTCATACTCACTCAAACTCCGAGTCACTCACGCCCAAACCAACTCACACTCAGACTCACTCGCGCTCATATCCAATCAGACTCATACTCAACAACATTCAAACCCACCCGCGCCGACTCGATGACATTCAGACTCAATCCCTCTCAGACTCAAACACAAACATGTATACTCATGCTCACTTGCACTGGAAGTCTCTCAAACTAATGCTCACTTACGCCGCACGTCGTGCTCTGGCCTTGCCATGGGGAGCCTCCAGTGGGTACGGCACGGGCCCGATCGCGGCCACGTTGGTGGTATCTTTCTGGCAGAACGAATATTGGAGTTTGTGGACATGTGTCGCTTCAGAGACCCATGGTCAACGCGATTTAGCATGCATCGCGTGCGGGCTTCTGCAGGAGGGGGCGGGGGAACAAAGGGGAATGTCACGGGCAAGTTCGCGCTCAGATTGGTAGGACTCCTCAAATATAAATCCCGTTCCAAAGATCAGGCACGTCTCTCTTCAGAACCTCCGTTCTGCCTCGTCTCCCTTCTTCTCATTGCTCTTCTACGCGTCCTTTTTTCCCCTGGTCGCAAGAGGCCACATTGCGGGCCCCGCGAAGCCGCAGCACGCTCCAGGAGACCCGGGACGCTGCAGGACACCCCAAGATGCCCAAGAAGGGGCAAGGAAACCTCAGGAAGCCCCATTGAAAGCCCGGGAAGCCTCTGGAGTCCCCAGGATGCCTTCACTCATGCTCACGTTCGCTCAGCTTCGAACCCAGTCAAGCTCAGACCACTCAAACCCAGACTACTGCGTACCGAACAACTCATCAGTTCCGCGTATACCAGACCATTCAGATTCCGACCTCATCTTCAACAGTCTCAATCATGCCCTGGAACACACTCATAGTCATATTCACTCATGTTGAACCACCTAAATTCAAACTCGCACAAAGCCCGATTCACTCACACTCGGGCTACTCCGTGCAACGTTTTGTGTCCTCCAACGTATTCATACACCCCCAGAACCAAACAGTTCCCTTTTGGGCCTGGAACGACAGTTCGAAGTCTTGAACAGACCCGTATATTATAACCGCCGTCGGGTCTCATGGAGGTCGAAAAGATCTCATTGTGGTTTTGGTTTTTCTTTCGGTGGATCCGATTTCCGTCCGCGCGGATCCGAATCCGATTCCGGATTGTATGGATCCGCTTCTGGCCTTGCTTTTAACGGCGGATCCAATTTCAACCCTGCTTTATACTTTTCAATTAGAACGGGGAGCCGGGCGAAATCGGATCCGCGGACACCGGAACCCGCCCGTGATAAGATTATACGGGGGGGAAGGGGGGTTCGGCGATCAACGTCTCACGATGGTTCTTGCGCTGCCCCGCGCGCTCCCATCAACTTTCTGCGCGAGGGGGCCCCACTCAACATGAATGCATCTCTTTTTCCTGGACGAGTTGCACGCAACTCGTCCAGAAGCCGTCCGATCGGCGGCGCCGATGTTACCCGTCGAACTCAGCACCGCCATTTTCACCTCAAGAGGAAAATCTTTCGGCATGTGTAAGTATTCAGACCCACTCATGCTCAGGACCACCCATGCGCAGACGCACTCATTCATGCGCAGCCTTGCCCATACCTGGCCCAGTCGTACCAAGGCGAACTCATACCCAGAGCCACTCACACTTAGGCGAAAACATGTCCAGACGCGCTCAGGCCCACTCACACCAAATCACTCAGAGTTAGACGCGTCCCAACCCAGCGCTGAACCCCCCTTTCTGGCGCGCGGAGCGCGCCAGGGGCGGCGCCAAAGGCACCGCCTGGGGGGGCCCAGCGCGGATCCAAGAAATCCGCGCGGAGCGCCAAAAGCTTAATGGCGCGTTCTCTTTTTCGAGACATATCACCTTTACTTCCTCCACGTTCCGCCAGCGGACCCGCCGCCGCTGTGGTGCTCTTCGCTGGCCTCTGCAGGCCTCCTGGCGAAGGCGAGGGTCGCCCGCAAGCGGGGGGATGCCCGCGCCGATTTGCCTGTGCTTGGCCGGCGTTCGGGGCTCTACTGACCCTCCTCCTCCTCCTTCTCCTCCTCCTCCTCCTCCTCCTCCTCCTCCTCCTCCTCCTCCTCCTCCTCCTCCTCCCCCCCCTCCACATCCTCCTCCCTCCTCCTCCTCCCCCCCCTCCTCCTCCACCTCCTCCTCCTCCTCCTCCTCCTCCTCCTCCTCGCTCCTCCTCGTCCTCCTTCCCACGCCGAAGGTCGCATCTCCGCTGCCCTCCCCCTGCAAAATCCTGCGGGATCCTGCAGGATCCTGCACCCCAAAACCTGGGTCAGTGCACCCCTGGCCCTGCAGGATCCTGCAAGATCTGGCGCTCTGGCTGCCCCGTTTGCATGGACCCCCGTCCCTTGAGCCCTGGGGCGTGGCGGGCCTTTGGATCCCGGCGCGGCTCGGCCACAGCTGCAGGATCTGGCAGCGCACGGGCGGTCAGAGCAAGGGAGATGAGGATCTGGACGAGGAGGAAACAGAAACAGCATTACGAGCAGGGGGAGCATAGTAATATCGAGGATGTGGAAGACGAGTGCGAGGCCTAGGGCCAGGGAGCGGCATAGTGGATGGTGCATGCGGAACGTTGAGCGGTACAACTATATCCAGGGGGAGCACACAAGCTTGACGCCAATACACAAATCCAGAGCTCTTCCACAATACGTGTCCTCTGCCGTGGTTGTACTCTGACGCGTCCTTCGCGCCACGAGGTCACCGAGTTCGTCCCCGAGAAGACGCGCCAGGGGACGGAGCAAACTAGCGAAAGAACACCGTACATCTCACGGCAACCGAAGCGTTAGTCGGAATCACGTGCCCTGCGTTGCTGCCACGTCGGCGGACTATGCCTACCCTTGTCGCTTCCTTCGCGCAAAATGTAGACGCGAGCATTCCTCTGTTCGGGCGTTGGCGGGACAAGGTTTAGCAGGATCTGGTTTAGGTACTGGGGGACGCCTCACCGCCCCATTCCACTGACCCGACCCGAAGAAGCACGAACTGCGACAGACTTGTCATCGTGCTTCTGCTTCCCTTTTGGGGCGTGGGGGCCCAAGCACCAACCGGCTCTCCTCACCCGGGGTCCTGGGTAGATCCGACCTGCGCACTCCAGGCTTGCGTATCCATCGCAGCCAAATAATCTCGCACAGTAAGAGGGTATATCACGTGTCATATGTTTCGGGTTTGCACTGAAAAGCTGTGTTGGATGCAGCTTCCGGCTCGTAATGCGCGTGCCCAGGTCGGTTAAAATACCAACCCGTCCAACTCATCGAAAAATATTGCACGTCTGGCCCTCCCTACTTGTTGTATTGATAGAATCCCGCCAGCCTTCTGGGCGCAGGGGGTCTAACGAGCCCGTCTTTTCCTCTTTCAAGAACCCCCGTCCCTTTCGGAACGGAGTGCACTTCCCCGCCCCCCCTGAAGTTCTCTTGGGGGTTCGCGAGCGATCAGAGCGCGCCAAATGGCCCAAGATGGCTTCAATAGTACCCCCGATGCTCCAAGATGGCCACCAAGATAGATCAAGATGGCCGACGAGGGTTCACGATAGCTTCCGACATGCCTCCACGAGGCCCAAAGAAGACCTTGTCCTCGTCCTCCTCCTCCTCCTCCTCGTCCTCCTCCTTGTCCTCGTCCTCGACCTCCTCGTCCTCCTCCTCGTCCTGGGTCTGGTCAGCCTGATCTATAACTTGTTCACCTGAATACTCCTACACTGCCCTGAACAATGCAGCTCGCCTGGGCATCGTTCCCAAACACGTGAAGCGCCATGGACTGTTATGCCACTGTCCCCTTCTAGGCTCCCAACATGACATGCTGCCGTCACACGTTTTCACTACAGCACCACGTGTGAATACTATGTGAATATACATATATATATATATATATATATATTCATGTACGTTAATGGCTGTTCGAAACACCCAAGCCGTGAGAACCACGTAACGTTCAAACTGTACGACTTGTTTCACCACTGTTTAAACTGATTGAAACTTCAACCTTATGTAGATACGCTAATTATCACAGATCGTCACGTTAGTGTTCCCCTGCGCCCACCAAACGCACCTAAATCGTGTGTGTATAGATCCCAAATACTCCACTAACGCACCTAAGTCGCGTGTGTATAGATAAGCCCTTCGTGCTACAGGGCGCACCAGCAGCTCCACACCAGGTAGAGGCGTACTCGGTGCCGTCTGGTAGGTCTGTGAGAGGAGAGCCCTTGCTGCTCTGGCACTGGTCACCGCCTCCTCAGGGTTCACCGCCCGAGGACCCACTCTAACTTGTATTTGTAGAGGGGGAACAGAATCGCTACACGCTCGAAGCACGAAGACCGAAACGGTCCAGCACGCACCCTGGGGCAGGGATTCGACAATGCCAGACTGAGCGTACGGCCCACCACATATGAGTACATGTTTTGTTGGCGGGGGGCATCGCATCCTTCGCACCAGCGCAGGGCGCATTCACTGGCCAGGCACCCGAAGATAGACACATGGGCTCGACGTGCCAGCACTGTGAAGCCTCCTCGGACTCTCACGCCTCCTCTCGCCCTCACGGCTCGCTGGCGGGGGCGGCTTCCCCCGCGGCGCGGGCAGCTGGTGCGGAGCCATCAGAGGCCGCCCAGCCACACGAGATGTGCCAGGGCCGCCGCCGCAAGCACCCCTGGGGCCCTCGCCGTGCGGGCGCCGCTTTTCCGGTAGCTGCTGCGGTAGTGCGGCGGCGCCTGCGGCGGCGCCTGCGGCGGCGCCTGCGGCGGCGCCTGCGGCGGGTACGGGCCTTGCACCGGCCCGGGCGCGGCGGGGGCAAAGGGCTCCGCGGGCGCCGTGCCGTACATCTGCTGCACGGGCGGCTGCGGGCCGTAGCCGGGCGCCGGCGCCGCGAAGGGCGGCTGCTGGCCGTAGCCAGGATCGTGGGGATGGCCCGGCTGCAGCGGCGGCAGCGCGGGCGCTGGGGCCAGGTCGAAGGCCGAGCCGACCTGCTGGCCAGGCGCGGGCGCCTGCGGCACGCTGGTGAAGAAGGGGTTCACGTTGGCGGGGCCTGCGCCCGTTTTCGAGCAAGGCGAGGGCGACCCCGCCGAGCCGGCGGCGCTGCCGGCGGACGGGAAGTCGCCGGGCCTGATGTTTCTGTCCGTGCCCATCGCGTCCTTCGCGTTCAGCTCGATGATCTCCCTCTTTAGGGCGTCCGAGCGGTTCTGGATCTGCTCGTCCTCCCTCTGCAGCTCGCGGACCGTGGCGTTGACCTGGAGGCCGGCGGCGACGACCTTTGGAGGGGAAGAGGAGCATGGAGGCCGTGGCCAGGACTGAAAGCGGAAACGTTGTGCCGATCTTGGTCATCGGCGAATTCCTGGTCAGCGTTGATCAGCAGATCATCCTCGCGAATCGGCGACGGCCGGCATTGATCATGCTTCGAGGGAGCGCGTTTCACGGGCGCTTGCCTTGGGAACATTCGGCGGCGCGTTGGAACCGGGGGGACGGGCCCCCCCCCAACAAAGAAACTTCGGCGCCGTCGAGCAGAACTAGGGGAACTCCCCTCCCCCCTCCCCCCGCCCCTCCCCGACCCACCCACCTCCAAACGCCCACAGAACGCGCTCTTTCCATGACTCGGATCGGGGTCGACAAGATCTCGCGACATCTTGGTCATGGTAAGCGTGATTCTGCTCTCGGGCCTTGTCGATCTCGGAGCTGTTCTTCCGTGCCGCCTGCGCCTCTCGCACCAGCTCCAGGTTCTTCATCTGGGTGGCCTCCAGGGCCGCGATGTGCTTCTCGAGGGCCTCCAGCCGCTTCACGACGACCGTCTCGCCGATCTTGTCCATCTCCACGGCCCGCTCCAGGGAGCTCGAGAGTGCCACGAGGAGGTTCTCGATGCGCGCCGTCTGCTTCTCGGAGAAGGGTATGGTCGGCCCCTGGTCGCCAGGTGGCCCCGGGGGGCCGAAGGAGCCCCTGACTCCCGGGTCGCCCTCGTTGCCCGGGTGGCCCGGCGGTCCCACCGGGCCTTTTGAGCATGGTTGAACAGACCCCATCCCCATGCGCGTGGCCTGGGCCTCACTGGCCGTTTCACCCCCCTGGATAGGGATACAGGTTGTTCCCTTCGGGTTTCGAAGGGTATCTCCTCAACTGGGGTGCTGAGATGGTGGGGGTCTGGACAATTCGGTGGCAACTCATGGGAGCCTCCCATACCATCTTGTCGGCTCTTGCGAATCGACGCTAACCGACGCCAGTCGACGCTAAATCCCCGCTAATCGACGCTGGCCGACGCTAAGTCGGCACTATCTCAGCGACTCCCAGACGCTGATCGACGCTACTCGACACGAAAGACGGAGCTAAGAGGGTATACCAGGCTCCCATGATCTGCCAACGAAGGATAGGGATGGGGATAGGGTTAGGTCGGGCGTGTCCCCCTACAGGTGGATTTGTAATGAAAAATGAAATACTCAACAAATACTCGAAAATGGTCAAACGAACTCGAAACATCGTCCCAGACTGTTGTTTGAGTATGTTTGAATATTCCCCATGTAGAGTGACAGGCCAGATTTAAGGATAGGGTCGGTTAAACGATACTGACCTTTGGCCGAGCTCAGGTCTACCATCGACGGGTCCTTGTCGATGCCGTCGGGGCCCGAGGGCCCCGGCAGCCCCTGCTGCCCAAGAGGCCCTGGAGGCCCTGGCTCCCCCTTCGGGCCCTGCATGGTCCACACGGTGGTGACCTTCTTCGTGAAGGGGTCCTCCCACCTGCTAAGACGAAGCCAGGACGAGGACACGATCGGGTGAAAGTGCATCGAGAATCTCTGAGGTCCGGCGGCTCTGGAGGATGTTTTTGGGGGCGCCGTGGCCTGCGCAGAGACTTCCAGAACGCCCTGAGGGCGTTCCGGAACGCTCTGGCACGGATGTAGGCTCGCCCTAGCCCCGTTCGACACCTGCCCCAGTTCTTCGGCAGCTTGAAGTCGCCCTGCTTCCAGAACCCGTCCGCCCAGTTGCCGGTAGGCTGGATCACGGGGTCCTTCTGCTCGTCGTCACCGCTGGCGCCCGCGGCGACGGACTCGACGAAGGCAGAGGCCGTGTTGAGCACCTCGCGTTTGTCGCGCATTTGCTGCAGCTGCTGACGGAAGCTGTCCGGGAGCGATCCTTCCTCCAGGTAGGCGGTGAGGACATCGTCATGGGCGCCTGCGACGGGCGCCGAGGCGGCGGCCACGCCTAGAAAGCACGAAACGGCAAGCAGTGGCAACATCGTGGCCACGCTGGTTTACTTTGTGGGATGCGGCTGGTTCAGACCGCTTGAACCCAAATGGCTACGGACCGAACCTTCGTTTCTCCAAGTTGTAGACAACATCCAATCAACATAGCTAATGCAACTCTTCTAGTTCATGCAGTGTTCTGTCGACCGATCCCCGTATCTAACCACTGGAGCGCAACGACACAACCACGATACACCCTTGGGACAACGAGAGAATAATCACGGCATGCACGCGCCGCGCACTGGCCACGGGACAATCACAAGTCAATCACAGGACAACCGTGCAGCAGCTATATCACCCTTGCGCATCAGCATCTCGCCCGCACGTGCGAAACGAACCGAGGCCGAAGCCGAATTCCTGGTGAGGGGCTCTCCAATTCACGTCGATCTCACGCCTCAACCTCTGCGTTGACATGGCCATTCAAATCAACAACTACCCCAGCACATCACCCTAACAGCATAATGGTATGTCACAGTGCGGATCTCGCACGCTCCAATGATTCGGGTACTCTTGGCCCACCTGAGGCCTTTGGGCCCCGCGCCTTCTTGGGGACCTCTTGGACAGTCTAGGAGGTCTTTCGGGCTTTGTTGGGCCCTCTTGGGGCTCTCTTGGGCGCGCTAGGGGGCGCCTTGGGGCTATCTAGTGCCATCATTGCGTCTTCTGGAGTGTCTTCGCATCGTATTAGGAATGAAAGCTGTCTGAGGGGGTCTGGGGATCTTGGGCCGTCTGAGAACGATAGTGGCGGCCACCTGGGGGCGGCCTCTGGGAGGCCATGAGACACGACGTGCGTCAAGGTGTGCGAATCGGGGCTCCCGTGGGCCATCTTGGCTGTCAACGGAAACCTGCGTACGGAAGGCAATATGGTACGGGGTGCGTGGAGGGTGTGCCGAACTCTGGGTCCCTGCAGCCATCCTGGCGGCAAGCTGAGAGGCCTTTGGGATGCCCAGGGGCACCACGTGCGTGGTGGATGTGCCGAGGCAGGCCTCAGCCGCCGAGTGCCCCTGGGAGCCCAGGAGGCACGACTTGCGCGCGGGGATCGCGCCGACTTGGGCTTGGGGAGGAGGAGGAGGAGGAGACGGAGCAGGAGAGCGCGGGCTCAGGTCGCCCCACCCGGAGGTCGCGAGCCGGCGCCAGGCGTCCTCCTCGGACGCTGCCCCCTGCTTCCCTGCTTCCTCTCCCCTGCCCTCCGTCCCGTGCTCATGGTGCCGCCGTGGTTGGCGGCGGGGCGCCCGCGGCGCACTGCGGCTGCACGCCGTGCGCAGGCCGCCCGTGCCTCTGCGCGCGCTGCCCAGCAGCTCTTGAGAGAGCTTTCGGCGCTGTCGCACCGCGGTTGCAACGCGCACTCGGATCGGAGCTGCCTTGGAGGAGGCTCTCCGTCGGACCGGTGCGCCTGTGGAAGGAGAATGCGGAGAAGACCATGATGGGTGTGATGACGTTGGTCAGGCCACTCGAGCAGAGGAGAGGTGTGCTGCTCCCCCGCTTCCCGAGGAGAAAAGCAGCCCCCTTGTAATGTCAGAGGAGGAGTGCATTGCTGGCGGCCCTGTTGTAAAGTAGAGTGTTCATGTCGTACCTGGCGAAGAGGAGAGCACATCTGCCCAGCCTGCCGCTGCGCCGAGCGGCGCCCATGAATCTGCAGAAATGTTCTCCGTCATGTCCGATTTTCATAAGAGAGTTCTGGAGGCCGAGGGCCAGGTACAGTTCTTGTCCTCCATCGCAGCGAGTGCCCTCCCAGCTGACCTGTACCAGGTGCCGCACTCTGACATAGCGGCTGTGTTGGCGCGTTTCAGAGAGGAGGATACCAAGGCCATCTCGGCCATTGGAGCGGCCAGGGCTTCATCCCAGAGCGTGTCGGCTGCTGCAGATCCGGCTTTCGAACACTTGCAGGTTCGTCTGAAGGCAGCTCAAAGAGCTTTAGTGAAGGCCCGGCTGACTTCACGCCACTGGTCGGAGTACTGTAGCGTGTGAGGGCTGCAGGGCGTGAGCTGTAGCGAGTAGGCCGTGGGCAGGTGAGTTGAGCTAGGCACGCAGCTGCGCTGTTGCCTTCTGTAGTGCTGGACGCGGCTCGGATTGCTGGTGATCCTGGGTTCCCGCGGCTGGGCCTTTGGGGGCCCTTGGTGTCCTGGGATCGTCGGGTTCCTGCCTTCGCTCCCCCCCATGCGGCCTTCCTCTCTTCCTGCTCTTTCTCTCTTCCTCCCTGTTTCTCCCCTCTTGGGGAGGTGCGTTGGCGGGTTCCTGTTCTGGTTCTGGGGTTTTTGGGGTGTCTCTGGGTTCCCTCGTCGCTTCTGTCTCTTTGTCCCGCTCTGTCTCGCCTTCTTCCTGTTTTTTGGGCATCGCCAATCTCTGCCTTAGTATGAATGAATAAATGAATGACTGAATGAATGAATGAGGAGCAGGAGAAGGAGGCGGAGGAGGAGGAGGAGGAGAAGGAGGAGGAGGAGGAGGAGGAGGAGGAGGAGGGGGAGGGAGAGGAAGGGCAGCCAAGACCCCTGCACTTCCTCGCCCCTCGTGCAGCCAGTGTAGCCGGGCCCCTTCCGAAGACTCGGGCCCCTTCTCTGCAGAGGGGGGCGCCACGAGGCCGCACCTGGCTCTGCGTGGCTCGCCGTCAGCCCGCCTCTCGGGAGGCACGTGGAGGAGCCGGCTCCCAAGACGGAAACTTACAGCATGTTTGCGTCGGCGGCTACCTAAACGGGGATACCGTCGTAGCGAAGTGTGGCGCCTTGCAGGAGGGAGAGGATCGGAGGAGGCGGCCGAGAGAAGAGGCGGAGGGAGCGGGCCGCTCAGGGGGACGGGTCACGCCCCATGCGTGACTGAAACTTAAAACAGGTTTAGCAATCGCATGTGCCAGATCTGCGGGACCAGAGGTGACTACCTACCAGACCACCCCAACCCAACCCGAAGACCCGAATTTGACCCGAATTTCGGGTTGGGGGGGGTACGGGTTCCGTGTGTTTTTTCAACGTTCCACGACCCCCCCCCACTGGAAATGGAGGGCAAATTGAGGCCTTCGGGTTGGGTTGGGGTGGTGAAGAGGGACAACACGCTGCAGATGTGGCGGATTCCAGACACCCTGAACCCAACAAAAACATTGTCATCTCTTGGGGGCGCACGTTCTACTTCCGCCGGCTTCCGCCGGCGGAGGCCGCCCCGTTCTACCTCCGCCGCCTCTCGCCGACCTGCCGCAGCCGAAGAGATGACGACTCCGTTCGGTCCTCGAAGGTAAAAGGCCCTTTTTTGGGGAACGCCCCCCACAGACACAAACTTCCGGAGGTCCGCGCGCGGATGTCTTGGATCGGCGCTGGGCCCTCCACCCAGGCGCGCGCAGCGCGCCACGGGCAGCGCCGGAGGCACCGCCGGGGGGGCCCGGCGCCGACCCGTGAACTCCGAAAGTTTCGGTGCATGCAGGCTTTTACTCTTCGAGCTCGGGCCGTAGAGGCGCCATCCACCCGCCAAGAGAAGCGAAAAAGGGGGGGCGTCGCCAGCAGGCACGTGGCCATCCTCGTCCAGCAGCTGCTGGACGAAGCACACCCTGCCTGCCTCGCACGCGTAGTCGTACAGCGAGCCGAGCGTGTCGTCGCTGGAGGCGCACTCTTTCTCCGCTTCCGGCGCAGAAGAATGGGGGGATCGGCCGCGAGCACAGGGGCATGGCAGAGGGGGCGGGCCTTCTCAGAAGGCGGCGGTGCTGATCGGAAGCCCCCTTGGCCTGCTGAGAAAACCTCTGTGGAGGGGGAGGAGGAGGAGGAGGAGGAGGAGGAGGAGGAGGAGGAGAGGAGGAGGAGGAGGGAGGAGAGGAGAGGAGGGGGAGGAGGAGGAGGAGGAGGAGGGGGGAGGAGGAGAAGGAGAAGGAGGAGAGGAGGAGGAGGAGGGAGGAGGAGGAGGAGGAGGAGGGCCTCTAAAGAAAGCTCCCCAGAAGGCCCAATGCCTTCCGAGCCTTCCGAGAAGGCCTGGCCCCCTCTCTGCCTGCCCCCCCCCCGTGGGCGCGCCGCCGCGAGGACGAGGGACTGGGGGGGAACACGGCGAGGAGGGGGGCCCCGCACACGCAATCGGCAGGGCGGGCCAGCGCGATGCACGCAGCTGCCGAGCTCAGCGAACTTGTTTCGATGTGGCAAGCCTCAAGGTGCAAAGCGCCGTTAAGGCGCCAAGATTCGCTTCGCCTGTGGGGCTCGTCAGTCGGCCAGGAAGCCCCAGATGGTAGCAGGGCGCGAGCGATCTGCGCTCACGATGCGGTGGCCATAACATCTGGCTTCACGTGTCCTTGTGACACCCTGCCCGCCCAACGCCAGGTCAAGGGGAAGAGCCTCACAAATCTGAAGCGCATTTTCTTATTCGCGGCCATAGCAAGCATTATGGGGGAAAGGGGAGGGGGGGAGGGGACGGGAGGGGGCATAACGTAGCGCGCCCCCTCCCCCCGCCCCGACAGTGGTGCAGGACGCACTGAGGCAGTGCTGGGGACGCACTGAGGAAGGGAACGTTATGTTATGGGGGGGGGGAGGGCGAGGAGGAGGAGAAGGAGGAGGAGGAGCAGGAGGAGGAGGAGGAGGAGGAGGAGGAGGAGGAGCAGGAGGAGGAGGAGGAGGACCAGGAGGAGGAGGAGGAGGAGGAGGAGGAGGAGAAGGAGGAGGAGGAGGAAAGGAGGAAGAGGAGGAGAGGGGGGGAGGAGGAGGAGAGGAGGAGGAGGGAGGAGGAGGAGGAAGGAGGAGGGAGGAGGAGGAGGAAGGAGGAGGAGTAGGGAGTGTAGGGGGCAGAACGCGCGTTCTGGCCGAGAGGGTAAACACAAAAACACTCGTTTGGGCTGCACGCGGTGCACCTGCGTGACCCCGAGCCCCGCGTGGCGTGGCTGCTCGGCTGGCTCGGGAGGCCCCCTCCTCATGGAAGACTCTAGACAGGGAGGAGGCGGAGGAGGACGAGGAGGAGGACGAGGAGGGGGGATGAGGAGGGGGATGAGGAGGAGGAGGAGGAGGAGGAGGAGAAGAAGAAGAAGGAGCAGCAGCAGCAA